ATGTGATGGAGATCAATGTGAGTGAGAGGTGCTTCGGAGCAGGCAGCACTCATGGAGAAGGGCACAACGCAGCACTAGCCGCAAAAGGCATGTATTTTTTTAGGGTGCATTAAGGTGACACAAAGGGGATGCCGCCGGGATGTTCGAGGCATCAGCAAGTGCTTGTGAAATTGTGAATGAGAGACTTTACAGTGTCAGATGTGTGTACAGCCTGCGCAAAAAACAAAGCAGCGCTCATGCCTTTCAAGTGACTTTTAAAAAATGATCATTAGAATCGCATCATGCAGCCTTCCAAAGTATTACAAATCAAAACATATAGCCCAACGTTTGTAGAACAACTAAAGTTACATTAATAACTCTAAATTAAGCATATAGCTTGGAAAATTCCAGAAAATGTTGTCATGGCTTTAGAAGCTTCTGATAGGCTAATTGACATAATTTGAGTCAATTGGAGGTGTACCTGTGGATGTATTTCAAGGCCTACCTTCAAACTCAGTGCCTCTTTGCTTGACATCATGGGAAAATCTAAAGAAATCAGCCAAGACCTCAGAAAAAGAATTGTAGACCTCCACAAATCCGGTTCATCCTTGGGAGCAATTTCCAAACGCCTGAAGGTACCACGTTCATCTGTACAAACAATAGTACACAAGTATAAACACCATGGGACCATGCAGCCGTCATACCGCTCAGGAAGGAGATGCGTTCTGTCTCCTAGAGATGAACGTACTTTGGTACGAAAAGTGCAAATCAATCCCAGAACAACAGCTAAGGACCTTGTGAAGATGCTGGAGGAAACAGGTACTATATCCACAGTAAAACGAGTCCTATATCGACATAACCTGAAAGGCCGCTCAGCAAGGAAGAAGCCACTGCTTCAAAACCGCCATAAAAAGCCAGACTACGGTTTGCAACTGCACATGGGGACAAAGATCGTACTTTTTGGAGAAATGTCCTCTGGTCTGATGAAACAAAAATAGAACTGTTTGGCCATAATGACCATCGTTATGTTTGGAGGAAAAAGGGGTTGCTTGCAAGCCGAAGAACACCATCCCAACCGTGAAGCACGGGGGTGGCAGCATCATTCTGTGGGGGTGCTTTGCTGCAGGAGGGACTGGTGCACTTCACAAAATAGATGGCATCATGAGGAAGGAAAATTTTGTGGATATATTGAAGCAACATTTCAAGACATCAGTCAGGAAGTTAAAGCTTGGTCGCAAATGGGTCTTCCAAATGGACAATGACCCAAAGCATACTTCCAAAGTTGTGGCAAAATGGCTTAAGGACAACAAAGTCAAGGTATTGGAGTGGCCATCACAAAGCCATGATCTCAATCCTGTAGAGCATTTGTGGGCAGAACTGAAAAAGCGTGTGCAAGCAAGGAGGCCTACAAACCTGACTCAGTTACACCAGCTCTGTCAGGAGGAATGGGCCAAAATTCACCCAACTTATTGTGGGAAGCATGTGGAAGGCTACCCGAAACGTTTGACCCAAGTTAAACAATTTAAAGGCAATGCTACCAAATACTAATTGAGTGTATGTAAACTTCTGACCCACTAGGAATGTGATGAAATAAATAATTATCTCTACTATTATTCTATTATTCTGACATTTCACATTCTTAAAATAATGTGGTGATCCTAACTGACCTAAAACAGGGAATTTTTACTCAGATTAAATGTCAGGAATGGTGAAAAACTGAGTTTAAATGCATTTGGCTAAGGTGTATGTAAACTTCCGACTTCAACTGCAGGTGGCTGGAAGCAGGAAACGGACATGGATACAAGAGCTTTCGAAGGAATGTGGTTATCTTGATTTCATTCTTTAGGCGTGCTTTAGGATTACATATCAGGGAACACACTCTGCTCTTCCTTTCATCAAGGTATCACAAAGCTCACTGTCGAGGATTAACACAGCAGAAGGTCAATCAAGGGAACTGGAAAAGTACTCCCTTTTTACTGTCACAAATCGGAGCCTGCGTGACCTGAGCTTGTGTGTGGGCTTTTGTGAGTGTGGTGGTGTGTGAGTGTACAATATACACTACCAGTCAAAAGTTTGGACACACCTACTCATTCAAGGGTTTTTCTTTATTTTTACAATGTAGAATAATAGTGAAGATATCAAAACTATGAAATAACACATTTGGAATCATGTAGTAACCAAAAGAAGTGATAAACAAATCAACATTTTATATTTGAGAGTCTTCAATTAGCCAATATTTGCCTTGGTGACAACTTTGCACACTCTTGGCATTCTCTCAACCAGCTTCATGAGGTAGTCACCTGGAATGCATTTAAATTAACCGGTGTGCCTTCTTAAAAGTTAATTTGTGGAATTTCTTTCCTTCTTATTGCGCTTGAGCCAATCAGTTGTGTTGTGACAAGGTAGGGGGGTATACAGAAGATTGCCCTATTTGGTAAAAGACCAAGTCCATATTATGGCAAGAACAGCTCAAATAAGCAAAGAGAAACGACAGTCCATCATTACTTTAAGACATGAAGGTCAGTCAATACGGAACATATCAAGAACTTTGAATGTTCCTTCAAGTGCTGTCGCAAAAAACATCAAGCGCTATGATGAAACTGGCTCTCATGAGGACTGCCACAGGAATGGAAGACCCACAGTTACCTCTGCTGCAGAGGATAACTCTACCCACACATACATATTACCTCAATTACCTCGACTAACCGGTGCCCCCACTCATTGACTCTGTACCGGTACCCCCTGTATATAGCCTCCCTGCTGTTATTTTATTTTACTACTGCTCTTTAATTACTTTTTATTTTTATTTTTTACTCATCTATTTTTACTTAACTTTTTTTTCTTAAAACTGCATTGTTGGTTAAGGGCTTGTAAGTAAGAATTGAATCAAGGTCTACACCTGTTGTATTTGGCGCATGTGGCAAAAACAATTTGATTTGAAGTTCATTAGAGTTACCAGCCTCAGAAATTGCAGCCCAAATAAATGCTTCACAGAGTTCAAGTAACAGACACATCTCAGCATCATTCAGAGGAGACTGTGTGAATCAGGCCTTCATGGTCGAATTGCTGAAAAGAAACCACTACTAAAGGACACCAATAATAAGAAGAGACTTGCTTGGGCCAAGGAACACGAGCAATGGACATTAGACCGGTGTAAATTTGTCCTTTGGTCCAAATGGAGGTTTTTGGTTCCAACCACCTTGTCTTTGTGAGACGCGGTGTGGGTGAATGGATGATCGCCGAATGTGTAGTTCCCACATAAAGCATGGAGGAGGAGGTGTGATTGTGTGGGGGTGCTTTGCTGGTGACACTGTCTGTGATTTATTTAGAATTCAAGGCACACTTAACCAGCATGGCTACCACTGCATTCTGCAGCGATACGCCATTCCATCTGGTTTGGGCTTAGTGGGACTATCATTTGTTTTTCAACAAGACAATGACCCAAAACACACCTCCAGGCTGTGTAAGGGCTATTTTACCAAGAAGGAGAGTGATGGAGTGCTTCATCAGATGACCTACCTCCAGAATCTCCCTACCTCCACCCAATTGAGATGGTTTGGGATTAGTCTGACCGCAGAGTGAAGGAAAAGCAGCCAACAAGTTCTCAGCATATGCAGGAACTCCTTCAAGACTGTTGGAAAAGCATTCCAGGTGCAGCTAGTTGAGAGAATGCCAAGAGTGTGGAAAGCTGTCATCAAGGCAAAGGGTGGCTATTTGAAGAATTTCAAATTTAAAATATATTTTGATTTGTTTAACACTGTTTTGGTTACTACATGATTCCATATGTGTTATTTCATAGTTTTGATGTCTTCACTATTATTCGACAATGTAGAAAATAGTAAAAAATAAAGAAAAACCCTGAAATGAGTAGGTGTGTCCAATCTTTTGACTGGTACTGTATTTCTTTGTTAACCGCTCAACACAGAATAGCCGCATGTGCGCACTCCCTCAAATCGTTTGTAGAAAATGTCATTTATATTTTATTCATCTTTGTTCAATTGTATTCTTCATACTATAAAATAATATAAAATAATGCCACGGAATTCTAAGCAAATCTTGTCTGCTAGATGAACTAGTGTAGCCCACAGCCATTTGGCATAGCCAGATCAGGACCTAACATGAGGACAACTCAGAGTATTGTGGCAACCCGGGGGCCAGCAGGGAGCTACAAAGGAAGGAGCAGGACCTTCGTCAGCTACAGAGGGCAAGGTGAGTCAGCACCATGGACAGCTCTACAGGCACCAACTGGGGCAGGTGATTCAACACCAATATTACCCAGTCCAGATGCTGCAACCAATTGGCACCTGGAGTTGATTCCACCTGTCCCTCGTTACCCCAAATGGGTATAAGTAGAGGTGCAGTCACTCGGACGCTTGGGCAGACAGGCAGAGGGTACGCGCCAAGACCTCAGAAGAACTGGAGTGAGTATGATAACACCTCGATCCAACGACAAAGAAGATACTAGGCAATGTTTGACTCACCTGTCTCTCTCTCTTCCTTTTCTTGGACCCATTCCCGGGCAGCATGCTACCCAGCACAAGTTGAGAGCAAGGATTGAAACCCCGGACTCATTGCTCTCTCTCTCTTTTTTGTTAATTAACACAGGCGGTCCGAGGAGCCGCCACGCCAGGGGCAGAGTGACCCACCTGTTACCTGAGAGGCTTTTCCGTTGTATTTCTCCCCTCCCCGTTCCCCCCAACCTTCATTAAAGAGAAACTTTGGTTTGAGCACCGCAAAACGGTCTCCCGCTGTCTTATTTTATTGTGAGTTTCACCTCGGACTCCCGTAGGCTACCACAGTATGCTATTCTCTTCTGAAATAGATTTCACAGAGAACAATAGAGGAGGAGAGACATAGGGGTATTTCTGTGTCTTATTGTTCAAGTCAAGTTCACTCGTTTCTTGGCCTGGTGTCACGGTGGTGGTGGCGATTCTCCAACAGCATGAATGAGGAAGAGAAGCCATTCCACTGATGAGCATGATATGACTATAACCACTAACCAATGGCAGAGTAGACTGAAATCATAAACACATATTAGAGCCACTTCGCTCCAATCCAGGGAGAGGAGGAGATACTGGACTGTGTGGTAGTGGATGGTAGCCTGGTCTTAGATCTGTTTGTGCTGTCTTGCCAACTCCTATGGTCATTGTCACACCCCAAGACAGCACAAACAGATCTGGGATCAGGCTAGGTGGATGGGGAGGGGACTCACCGATGACGATGAGGGTGTAGTTGATGTTGACGCTGCCGAAGCCGTTGGTGGCCTTGCAGATGAAGGTGCCTGCGTCCTCTTCCTCCACGTCTTTTATGCGCAGTGCCTGCTGCAGCACCCGGAAGCGCATCCAGCCGCTGTGGATGTTGCGGCCGTCCTTGGTCCACATGATGAGGGGTGGCGGGTCGCCCTCCACCGGGCACTGCAGTTTCATGGTGCGCCCGATCCGCACCGTCTGCCGGTGGGCGATCTTCTCTGCCACGCGGGGAGGGCCTGGGACAGGAGAGGGAGACGTAAGAGTGTTATAATGGGACATACAGTATATTACAGAAAACTGAATCAATCAGTAATATGTAGCTACAGTGTCTTATACTTCAGTTATAGATTGGCTGCCATACAGAACAGAACAAAGCAGAGCCTGGTAACGACTATAATCTGAACTGAGATCAAGTTCCAGCCATGAAAACATCAACCTTAAACAGAAGCTGGTCTGTCCTGATTTGAGGATTAGAAAAACAGTGTGTCTGTGAGGAGATATTAAGATTAAATGAAAGGTGGAGCGGAGAGGGGGAACTTGAGGGGGTGATTTAACGAGGGAGAGTATAAAATGCGTAGGAGAGTGGGAGAAAGGCAGACAGACAGAAAGAAAAGACAGAAGGGATCCGTGGTCTGTTTCATCTCCATTCTCTCCTCTTAAATAAATGTGATGTTGGATGTGGAGCCCAGCAGTCTAAAACAGATCCATGTCAGCAGCATGTCTGTCTGAATCCTGGCTTATCTTTCTGCATAAATCATATCACGCTGATACAAAGTAACATTTACCCTGAGTTCAGTCCTTGGGCACCAAGGTTACAAGCCTTTACTGCCTCGTAACTCACACATCTTGAACCCCTCGTACCATCCAAAGTCAGCCTTTTTAATAGCCAAAGTTAAATAAATCTCGGAGAAAAATGCTAACACTAAATCTTTGACTACAGGACAACTAGTGTTTCATGTGGTTAGTGTTAGCCGTCTGTAGAGCTAGCTGTGCTGTGTTGATGTGTGGAGCGAGGCTTTCATACTGGCTTTTCCAGCCCACACACTGCATGGCTCACTCCCTGTCGGAGTATGGAGGCAGGAAATTGATAGTGTCACCGTTTATGTCTGTAGGGAAATGGTAACAGCCATCCCTTGTCAGCTGGCCACGTCGTCCTCCTCACTTACCGTGCTGTGGCTGGGCGGATCTCACGGGGTTGTTTGTGTGCTGGTCTTACTACTCTGTTTGTGTGTGTGTGTCTGTGTATGTACAGTGGGGGAAAAAAGTATTTAGTCAGCCACCAATTGTGCAAGTTCTCCCACTTAAAAAGATGAGAGAGGCCTGTAATTTTCATCATAGGTACACGTCAACTATGACAGACAAAATGAGAAAAATAAATCCAGAAAATCACATGTAGGATTTTTAATGAATTTATTTGCAAATTATGGTGGAAAATAAGTATTTGGTCAATAACAAAAGTTTCTTAATACTTTGTTATATACCCTTTGTTGGCAATGACACAGGTCAAACGTTTTCTGTAAGTCTTCACAAGGTTTCCACACACTGTTGCTGGTATTTTGGCCCATTCCTCCATGCAGATCTCCTCTAGAGCAGTGATGTTTTGGGGCTGTCGCTGGGCAACACAGACTTTCAACTCCCTCCAAAGATTTTCTATGGGGTTGAGATCTGGAGACTGGCTAGACCACTCCAGGACCTTGAAATGCTTCTTACGAAGCCAGTCCTTCGTTGCCTGGGCGGTGTGTTTGGGATCATTGTCATGCTGAAAGACCCAGCCACGTTTCATCTTCAATGCCCTTGCTGATGGAAGGAGGTTTTCACTCAAAATCTCACGATACATGGCCCCATTCATTCTTTCCTTTACACGGATCAGTCGTCCTGTTCCCTTTGCAGAAAAACAGCCCCAAAGCATGATGTTTCCACCCCCATGCTTCACAGTAGGTATGGTGTTCTTTGGATGCAACTCAGCATTCTTTGTCCTCCAAACACAACGAGTTGAGTTTTTACCAAAAAGTTCTATTTTGGTTTCATCTGACCATATGACATTCTCCCAATCCTCTTATGGATCATCCAAATGCACTCTAGCAAACTTCAGATGGGCCTGGACATGTACTGGCTTAAGCAGGGGGACACGTCTGGCACTGCAGGATTTGAGTCCCTAGCGGCGTAGTGTGTTACTGATGGTAGGCTTTGTTACTTTGGTCCCAGCTCTCTGCAGGTCATTCACTAGGTCCCCCCGTGTGGTTCTGGGACTTTTGCTCACCGTTCTTGTGATCATTTTGACCCCACAGGGTGAGATCTTGCGTGGAGCCCCAGATCGAGGGAGATTATCAGTGGTCTTGTATGTCTTCCATTTCCTAATAATTGCTCCCACAGTTGATTTCTTCAAACCAAGCTGCTTACCTATTGCAGATTCAGTCTTCCCAGCCTGGTGCAGGTCTACAATTTTGTTTCTGGTGTCCTTTGACAGCTCTTTGGTCTTGGCCATAGTGGAGTTTGGAGTGTGACTGTTTGAGGTTGTGGACAGGTATCTTTTATACTGATAACAAGTTCAAACAGGTGCCATTAATACAGGTAACAAGTGGAGGACAGAGGAGCCTCTTAAAGAAGAAGTTACAGGTCTGTGAGAGCCAGAAATCTTGCTTGTTTGTAGGTGACCAAATACTTATTTTCCACCATAATTTGCAAATAAATTCATAAAAAATCCTACAATGTGATTTTTTGGATTTGTTTTCCTCAATTTGTCTGTCATAGTTGACGTGTACCTATGATGATTACAGGCCTCTCTCATCTTTTTAAGTGGGAGAACATGCACAATTGGTGGCTGACTAAATACTTGTTTTTCCCCACACGGACATTCAACTCCCTCCAAAGAGCATCCGCTAACTCCTGGACAGTCTGTGGTGCAACGTGGCGTAAGTTCTGCTTTTCTGATGTATCAAATACTTATGCCATGCAATAAAATGCAAATTAATTACTTAAAAATCATACAATGTGATTTTCTGGATTTTTGTTTTAGATTCCGTCTCTCACAGTTGAAGTGTACCTATGATAAAAATTACAGACCTCTACATCCTTTGTAAGTAGGAAAACCTGCAAAATCGGCAGTGTATCAAATACTTGTTCTCCCCACTGTATGTATATGTATGTGTGTGTATATGTATGTATATTTGATCCCCTGCTGATTTTGTACATTTGCCCACTGACAAAGAAATGATCAGTCTATCATTTTAATGGTAGGTTTATTTGAACAGTGCGAGACAGAATAACAACAACAAAATCCAGAAAAATGTTATAAATTGATTTGCATTTTAATGAGGGAAATAAGTATTTGACCCCCTCTCAATCAGAAAGATTTCTGGCTCCCAGGTGTCTTTTATACAGGTAACAAGCTGATTAGGAGAACACTCTTAAGGGGAGTGCTCCTAATCTCAGCTTGTTACCTGTATAAAAGACACCTGTCCACAGAAGCAATCAATCAATCAGATTCCAAACTCTCCACCATGGCCAATACCAAAGAGCTCTCCAAGGATGTCAGGGACAAGATTGTAGACCTACACAAGGCTGGAATGGACTACAAGACCATCGCCAAGCAGCTTGGTGAGAAGGTGACAACAGTTGGTGCGATTATTCGCAAATGGAAGAAACACAAAAGAACTGTCAATCTCCTTCGGCCTGGGGCTCCATGCAAGATCTCACCTCGTGGAGTTGCAATGATCATGAGAACGGTGAGGAATCAGCCCAGAACTACACAGGAGGATCTTGTCAATGATCTCAAGGCAGCTGGGACCATAGTCACCAAGAAAACAATTGGTAACACACTACGCCGTGACGGACTGAAATCCTGCAGCGCCTGCAAGGTCCCCCTGCTCAAGAGAGCACATATACAGGCCCGTCTGAAGTTTGCCAATGAACATCTGAATGATTCACAGGAGAACTGGGTGAAAGTGTTGTGGTCAGATAAGACCAAAATCGAGCTCTTTGGCATCAACTCAACTCGCCATGTTTGGAGGAGGAGGAATGCTGCCTATGACCCCAAGAACACCATCCCCACCGTCAAACATGGAGGTGGAAACATTATGCTTTTGGGGGTGTTTTTCTGGTAAGGGGACAGGACAACTTCACCGCATCAAAGGGACGATGGACGGGGCCATGTACCGTCAAATCTTGGGTGAGAACCTCCTTCCCTCAGCCAGGGCATTGAAAATGGGTCGTGGATGGGTATTCCAGAATGACAATGACCCAAAACACACGGCCAAGGCAACAAAGGAGTGATAATAGCACTCCACTGTTTTCACAGGAGAGCACGAAAACCAACATTTTGACAGATGGGGTTGAGTGAAAATAAATTAGTCACAGTCAGGAATTCATTGGAGCCCTTTTTACCCCCCCCCCCCACTTCACTTCTACTGGCTTTCTCATCAGGAGCAAGTAAAGCCTTCCTGGTCGGACTTCCTCACAGATTTAAATCTCATTCTCTCTGGAAGCCTGTAGTCCTAAACGCCCTCTCTTTCTCTCTTCAACTCTTTTTCTCTCTCTCCATGCTGATTTACAGCTGTACTGCTCTGTGCCTTCTGTTTGAGAGAGAGCCCAGGATTCAGGCCCCAGAGCTGCTCATCATACTGAAAGGCTCTGGGGTCCAACAGAAACGCCCCACACCACCGCACCTCCCAGAGATCACAGGAGCACAACCCAGACTGCAGCCCCTCACACCCTCACCGGTTAACCTCCTGCTTTTCACTCCTCTCTCCTCTTCTGGAGAGTGATGAATTGAACATACAGCAGACACATTTTTGAGGAGCTTTCCTTTACGTTGGAGGGACTGGCCTGGAATATATATTATTATTTTTATTTTGTACTTTTACCCCTTTTTCTACCAAATTTCGTAATATCCAATTGGTAGATACAGTCTTGTCCCATCACTGCACTGACTCGGGATCACACATCACGGACTCGGGAGAGGTGAAGGTCGAGAGCCATGCGTCCTTCGAAACACGACCCTGCCAAGCCGCACTGCTTCTTGACACACTGCTCGCTTAACCCGGAAGCCAGCCGCACCAATGTGTCGGAGGAAACACCGTCCAGCTGGCGACCAGATTTAGCTTGCAGACGCCCGGCCCGCCACAAGGAGTTACTAGAGCGCAATGGGACAAGGAAATCCCGGCCAAATCCTCCCCTTACCCGTACGACGCTGGGCCATGCGCCTCATGGGTCTCCCAGTCACGGCCGGCTGTGACACAGCCTGGTATCAAACCCTTAGACCGCTGCACCACTCGGGAGGCCCTGGAATATAATTTGTAACCTCTTTCCGGGGGAATGACACAGAAACAACCCAAAAACTATTTCATGAGATTGTCTGTCATAGTGAGTCCAGGCTCTGCGTGGATGTGTTTATGTAAATGTGTGTCTCTCTGTGTGTGTGTATATATGTATGAGATAGAGAGAGAGAGAGAGAGAGAGAGAGAGAGAGAGAGAGAGAGAGAGAGAGAGATAGAGAGAGATAGAGAGAGAGAGAATAAGCTTCTCTCATCTCTCTCTCTTTCTCTCTGCTCGTCTCTCCTCGCTCTCTCCCTCTCTCTACTCTCTCTTTGTAAGAGGGGGAGCAGAGGGAATTGTGAGGAGAGGAAATTGCAGGCTGGACCTTTTAAAACACAATCTGTTTTGTCCATTTCAACCTAAATGCATTACCCTATGCTGCTGCTGCTGGTTCCACTCGGGGGATCTAAAGTACCTTAAAGAGGCAGCAGCCTCCTGTTTTTCTCTGTCTCTCAATGGATCTCTCTTAAAGCTGCCTACTACCATTTCTCTTTATTCCCTTTTATGGAATTCTGGCTTAAGGTACGCAGGG